AGTGTGGTGCTGGATAAATTGATGTCCAACGCTCCCTATAAACCTCCTAACTAACTTGATAGTAGAATCATATTATGTGTGCATTTTTGCTCATTGGCCCATGTGCATTTTTACTTGGCGTCATTTTTAGTTCAGCTTCAGTTGATCATGGTAAACATTCTCCTTTATTCTGTCATTTTTACTGTACTAGATCCCTATAGTTATTAAAATTAGTATTTGCATTTCATTTTCCTTTTAAATCTTTAATCATCATATTAGTCTAACTCATTCTTTGTTACCAATAAGTTAGACCAAGTAGGCAATGAGTTCGTCTCACATGTGTTGAGACACCGGTAACAACAGTTGCACAGGACTTCGTAAATAAGTTTGTGGCTTGTATATGACTCTTTATTGCCAAGATATGGCATTCATGGCTGGAAGAAATGAAATCACAGTTCAAAGAAATGGAATCACGGCTCAAAGAAATGGAATCACGGCTCAAAGAAATGGAATCACGGCTCAAAGAAATGGAATCACAGCTGTCAAATCCATAGAACCATGGCTCAAAAAATCCAGTTGTGGTTCACCAAGTAGATATATTCTATGCCTGTTCCAAGTAACCCCTACATTGCCAAGCCTTAGCAGTATTTTAAATGTCAAAGATTTCACCACAATGTCATTAATTCATTTTAGTTGCGAGAATGCTCCATGCTGTGTTGCATGCAGTGGTGCCCACAATGTGAAAGACTGTTTGGCAGTTGGTGCAAGGCAATCTCCTCTGTTGCAACTGTGGTGGCCAGCACACTGTTAACTATGGGAGATGTAGATTCATGAAGGAGGCCCAGGCCGTGGAGAGAACCAGGTTTGAGCAGAGAGTCTCTGGTCAAGATGCCTTGAAGACAGTAAAGCAGTCATCTCAAAAAGATGTTCAGCAACTGATGCCTCAAGTTCTGGTACAAATTTCTCTCAGTCTCCTCTATCTCCTACTCCTACTGCTGAATTGAGAATCTAGGCTCAAAAATTTAAACCTACACAACCTCAGGCTGCCAATACTGTGACCACTGAAACACAAACCCATGACTCTGCAACTTCTACTTTACTGGGTCTCACTATAACCAAAATTGTTGAGCTTATGTTGAAGATTATTGCCCTTTGTACCAAAACTGATAACTTGGATATCCCATCAAACCGGGTAATAAGGGATGGGCGGAGTAAATCAGGACAGTCCTCCATCATTTTGTAGAAATCTTGTAGCAGCTAAACTAATCAAAATATTGCAAAAGTAAAAATAGTGGCATCAAATTCAAAAGATTTCCTATCTATGTAGCATAAAGCAAGTTAAGAAATCATACATTTGCTACCTCTAAAAGTCTCTGAAGAAAGTGTGAAAAGTGAGATTTCGGAAAAGTACTTCTAAGGTCTGTAGCAAAAAAATATTCGCCATATTAAAAAATTGTACTTGCAAAAGAGTTGCACACTGGTGTTGGCTTAAAAACATGATCAACAAAATTTGCATAGCTCAATCCAAAAATAAAATGGTTGCCATTTTTTGCAAGATGGGGTAATAAGGGACACCACCCAGGGTAATAATTAATGCCTCTAAAAATGCATTTGCAGTAGAACTTTGATTAGCAAAGGCTCCAGTTAACAAAAATCAACAACATAAAATTTTGATTACATTTACCTAGCTTGGTAAAAAATTTTGCTTGCTGTCAGATCTGGAGGATTTGTCTGATCTACTAATCAATAGTAGAAAAACCTGAGGGGTTTTGGTTCGTTTATAATTGTCCGAATAACTTCATTGGCCAGGGAAGGATAATAACAAGATGTGTATCTAAGCATAGTTATTAAAGATAGGTTCATGGGATGCACTAGATAGAAGTTACAGGATCAAGCACAGTATGTGCAGTAATTTTGGAGATAGAGTATAACGACACTGCGTGTTGGCTGCTAGTGCCGGAGTCTAAGACGATGTGAGTTCGTCTAGAGTTTGCTGCATAGCTGCAGCTGAAGGCTGTCTGCCTGGGACTCTTTTAAGACTGACTGGCAGTCGGCTTACCGAGCTTATATACGCGGTGACCCGCAAATAGTGACATCACAGAAGGTGACACAATGGTCACTAATGACATCACAACGTGACACTAACAAAAAATTAATGCATCACAAAATTGTGCATGGAATGCCATAGATAGAATTATGCACCGGGCAACTAGGATAAAAAGTAATTGACCTAAACTATGATTTATTTTTTCAAAAAATATGATGTCAGTCCCTAAAATATTTTTTTCTTTTTAAGATATGTTTTTTAAGATAATTTTTTATTATAGTGAATTCACTTGATCCAAATTTAAATGGTGCAAAATTACAAGCCATCCTGTAGACTTCCAGGTGAAGAAGAAATGCTAGATGGCTGCTGATTTGGAGCTTGCAGTGGACAAGGTCGTTGTCAATGCTCAATGGCATGTCCATGGATATAGTTATATCAATAAAGGAAAAACAAGTACAAATCACAAAAATGTCATTTATTCTACATCTACATCATCTACAAAGGAAGAGGAGGACTTTGGAGTACCATCAACCAGGGCTACTCGGGACGATTTTGAACGTTTTTCATTCATAAGTTCTTACATTGAAACATTTTATAAACAAGTTTAGGCTCATTTCAAAGCTCTTTGCAAGAGCTATTGCATGGCTTCTCCAAAAAAATTCCATATGCTATTTGTAAGGTGCCAGAAGAAAAAAAAAAGAGTAGCACGAGTAGCCCCGTCGAATGGGGCTACTCGGGACACTGGGAATAAAACTTAATTTTAAAACATTTGAAGCATGCAGAGTGTACTCATCCATTACTAACAGTACTCTGAAGTCCTCCTCTTTCATTGTAGATGATGTAGAGGTAGAATAAATGAGATTTTCTGTGATTTTTACTTTTTTTCCTTTATTGATATGATATTACCATATACATTCATTACCGTATTATTGATGCAATATTACCGTATCCATGAACAGGCCATTGAGCATTTCAAATACCTTGTCCACTGCAAGCTTCATATCAGCAGCCTTAAAGCATTTTTTCTGTATCTGTAAGCTTACAGGACGGCTTGTAATTTCACACCATTTCAATTGGGTTAAGTGAATTTACTATGAAAAAAAATCATGAAAAACATACCTGAAACAGAAAGGAATGTTTTAGTGACGGTAACATCAACCGGGGCTACTTAGTGACAGTACTGTCAACCGGGGATACTCGGGACGGGCGGGGTAACTCAGGACAGTCCTCCGACATGGCGTAAAACTGTTTTAGTAGCAAAACTAATTGGAATATTGCAAAACTAAATATAGTGATGTAAATATCAACATTTTTCCTATCTATGTAGTACCTATAAAGGAAGTTCAAAAATACTATATTCACTAGCTTTGAAAAATTCCTGAAAAAAATGGTGAAAAACGATATTTTGAAAAGTTACTTCTGCTAAGGTCTGTAGTAAAAAAATATTCACTGTATTAAAAAATTTTACTTACATAGAAGTTGCACCCAGGTGTCGGCTTGTAAACGTAATTGACAGATTTTGCCTATCTCATTCCAAAAAAATGGCGGTCATTTCCGCAGGGCGGGGCTACTCCAGACACCCCCAAAAGCGCATTTACAGTAGAACCTCAGTTAGCAAAGGCTCCAGTTAAGAAAAAAATTGATTAAAAACAAAGAATATTGATTACATTTAACTCGCTGAGCAAAAAAAAGTTCACTTATTGTCACACAAATTACAAGCCGTCCTGTAAGCTTACAGATACAGAAAAAATGCTATAAGGCTGCTGATATAAAGCTTGCAGTGAACAAGGTTGTTGTAAATGCTCAATGGCATGTTCATGGATATGGTAATATTGCATAAATAATACAGTAATATCCCATTAATAATATGGTACCGTCAACTGGGGGATTCTGCCCTGTTCATAATGATGGCCAAAGCGGGGTCATAAATGATGGCCAAAGTCACTCTGACGTTTATGACCTTGTTTACAACCCTGGCGTTTATGACCCCGGCGTTTACGACCCCGTTTTTGTTTGCAAAACAAAATAAAAAATCGGGGCCGAAGTCACCCCAGTTGACGGTAATTAATGTTTATGGTAATATCATATCAATGAAGGAAAACCCAGTAAAAATCACGGAAAATGTCATTTATTTTACCTCTACATCATCTACAATGAAAGAGGAGGACTTCAGAGTACTTTTTGCATGCTGTAAAAGTTTTAAAATTAAGTTTTATTGTGAGTGTCCTGAGTGGACAATTTTTTTTTTTTGCTTCTGGCACCTTACAAATAGCATATGTAATTTTTTTGACGGTGCCATTCGATAGCCCTCGCAAAGAGCTATAAAATGAGCCTAAACTTGTTTATGAAATGTTTCATTGTAAGAAGCTATTAACAGTTATTAACAAAAAAAAAAAAACGCTCAAGACTGTCCCGAGTAGCCCTGGTTGACAGTATTGTTAGTAATGGTTGAGTACACTCTGCATGCTCCAAACATTTTAAATTAAGTATCATTTTTAAGTATCCTGAATTATTACTCAATTTCCAGTGGTAATTCGGGACGCTTCTCTTCTGCGTCTTGTACCTTATGAATGGCATATGGAATTTTTGGAGATGCAAACACCTTTAAAATGAGCCCAACTTCATTTCTGAAATGTTTCATGGTAAGAAGTTTTTGTCGAAAAACGCTCAAAATTGTCTCTTCTTACCCCGTTTGATGGTATAAGTTTCTTCCAGCCCTCTTTCTACGCTCTCCACTCACCTTCACAGCATCTATACCTACTATCAACCTGTTTACCAAAACTAGTTGAAAAATTTTAATTTCCCTACATGTCCAAACAGCCAAATTAAGCTCATACAACCAGGAGAGTGCAGGAAAGGTGCACCAATACCTTTGTTGGTGATGCTCCTCATCCTAGTCAAGTAATCACATAAGTATATCACATTTCTTTCACATAGCTCACATTGCTTGATTGTTGATTTGGCCTGGCAATATGAAAGTTGTTCTTAACCAAACCCAACTGTTACTCTTAACAGGTTTGCAGAGCCCACCAAAGTCTAAAATAAATTACTCAGAGGCTGATTCAGCACAATGATATTTTTTGTGGGGTTTTGGACCTCATTTTAACTTTTTACTATTTATCAGTCATAAATTGACTGATTCTTTGCTGAAAATAATGTTCAGTCCTCATCTAAATAAATCGGTGGGATTCCCATCTACATGGAAAACCAATCAGTAAGTGAAGTGTGCTGAAAGTAGTGCTAGGCACTATTGCACATGTATACCTGGCATAACATAGGTTAGGTGGGGAAATTCCTTTTCATTACTGAAACCTTGAAGCTCCAAAGTTAACAAATTTTTGCAATCATTTCAGAATTTTGCAGCTTAATCATGAACCTCTGCTAACGAGATACGAATTCATCCCACAGATATTTTTTAGCTCCAATGGTGGTGTGATAGCTCAAGTTGTGGTGTTGAAACTTTAAGATTTGCAAATTGCAGCTTTGGAGCTGAAATATTTGAAAAAAGTAGCACTATTCCAAGCCTGTATCCTTTAATCTTTTTCTTGGTTGGCTTCAGCCTTTTTTTCAGTTGGGCAGTTAAAGGTTTCATTAATAATGTAGCCACCTATTCTATTCATTATGATGATACATTTTCATTTTGTTTAATAAAATTTCACCTCATTTATTACTGTTCAAATGTACCGTATTCTAAATTGGAGTGAAAGAGCATCATGTAAAAATATATTGGTTTTAACAATATGAAATAATATTTTTTTTTTGTACCTCATCTATTACTTTTGAACTGAGCAAATTATAAAGCTTGATTTATTATTGTACAACATGCTTAAGATTAAGCTATAGTTTTTTGAAACGCATTTGTAACAATGTTTAATTATCATATCTATGGAATTATCATTTTATTTTTGTATGATTTTATTTTATCATGAATTGAAGCACATATGATTGATATTTACTATATTTTATATAGGCAGTTGACTGTAAGCAGCACCCAGACAGATGAGATAAGCACAACGGAGAATGAATGCCAAGTGCTGCAAGCCGAGAATGTAAGTTGCTTGTTTGAAAGTCATAGTCTTGGTTATTTATATTGATGACTAGTCTGAAATGATTGATCATTGGTTATTTGCTCTCCTTTATCTTTTTTACAAATCATTTTATTTTATTAGAAATAGGTATGATCTGATTATTGTTATTGCTGAATTTATGAAAAAGTTTCCTGTTTCTTGTTTAAAGACATTTTGTATGCGAGTAAATCCAATGTATCCTGTAATCTTTACTGTAGTAGAATTTTGGTAAAATTTCTGAAGTTTTTTTAATGAATTTAGTCTCTATAACCCACTTGACAATGATATTGCAACTCGTAAAAAAGAAAAAACTTTCTCCACCAGGCTGCTGTGCAGACAGATGCCATTATTCCTCCAGCAGTTGGTTCATCTTCTGTTGATGAATCTTCACTTCTTGATTTCTTACGAAGAATCACTCCTAAAGGTTGAAATATTTACAACTTCTTGTTCAAATATTCTGAAAAGTTTATTTCTTAGAAATCTGAAGTATTTGTGATAATATCATAACTTGAGTCTTGCAGTGTCTTCTTTGTTCATGTATTTAATCTTTGTGAAATATATGTATCAACCAGTAGGGTACGTATTTGTTGTAGAAAAGCACTAAATTTGACAAGTAATTTTACAGTGTTGGAAGAACTTGAGAAACAGAACCGCAGTGTTGCCTTTGATAGCTACAATGGCATTAATGAAGAAGAAGACCATGGGACTGCACTGCTCCACACCCTCCGCTGGCCAGGGCTTTTTGCTCAGGTATATATCTATAAAAAAATTTACATTCTGCTCAGCTATTGATCTGGATTTTGAATCTAAATTCACTGAAATTTCTTCATTCAAGAACTTTGACATTACTGCACAGGAGGTTTTGAAGTATAAGTGTACAAGAGTTTTGTATGATTTCAAGTGAGATTTCATCTATTCTGAGTAGATGAATCTACAGTATCAACTGCATATTTGGCACTTTCTTTTTATTAATATATATTAATTTTTTGTGGCTGTGTACATGCACATATATTTTTTTCCATTGTCATGTTAATCCTTGTATAGGAAGAGAGCAATGGAAGAAATAATCACAACCATGTTTTATTCTTAATTAATTAAGTTCCCAGCAAAAACATCAGAATGTTTGAGTTGTGCAATTCATATGCTGACACACTTTAGTTTTGTGACACATTAGTCACTCAGGGAGTTTATGGGATGCAAAATTGCTTTAAGAAATCATGTGATAAAGTTTTCAAAAACTATTTAATTCTTTTAGGTAAAAATTCAAAGTTTTTTTTTGGCTGGGATGTTTAATTCTAATAATATAATCATACCAATAATGAATTCAAAAGTTTACTTAATGTATGGTAAAGTATGTTATTTGTATACCAGGTAGTTATCGTGTAAATTTATGCAATTGTAATGTTTTTATTGTTCATCTTGAGGGTGTTGTGACTGGGTTATCATGGAGCAGCACTGGGGCGGTGGTCGCTGTGGCGTACGGAGCTGACACTCATGACACTTGGTGCAAGCATCGCTCAGCTGTTGCTCTGTGGAACCTCAACAGGTGCAGGATTTGAAGCAGAAGCCTTAAATTAGGTCCAAATTATGTACCTCCATGGGTTATTAATTTTTCAAGGTTACGGAAAGTGATGGATTTCAAGCAGAAGCCCTAAATTAGGTCTAAATTACCTCCATGGGTTATTAATTTTTCAAGGTTACGGAAAGTGATGGATTTCAAGCAGAAGCCCTAAATTAGGTCTAAATTACCTCCATGGGTTATTAATTTTTCAAGGTTACGGAAAGTGATGGATTTCAAGCAGAAGCCCTAAATTAGGTCTAAATTACCTCCATGGGTTATTAATTTTTCAAGGTTACGGAAAGTGATGGATTTCAAGCAGAAGCCCTAAATTAGGTCTAAATTACCTCCATGGGTTATTAATTTTTCAAGGTTATGGAAAGTGATGGATTTCAAGCAGAAGCACTAAATTTGGGCCAAATTACCTCCCTGGGATAATAAATTTTTCAAGGTTATGGAAAGTGATGGATTTCAAGCAGAAGCACTAAATTAGGGCTAAATTACCTCCCTGGGATAATAAATTTTTCAAGGTTATGGATGATAAGTGATGGAGTAAAATTTATTAGATTTCTATATATGCTGAAAACAGTAGTAAGAAGGGTAACATGCCCATTAAGGCCTGCTAAATGAGAAAGAATGTGAGTTTTTAAACCGCTGATTATAATAGAAATATAATAATTTTATAGTTATCTAGTAGAAATGAGCCTTTTTATTCACAGCCTATAAAAATGTTACAGGTACCCATATATATAGAAACTAAATTATTGCTGACTGTAAACGAGTTACCGGTATATGAAAATGGCCATTAAAAAATCTGGTTGAAAAGAAATGCTATCTGACAGCCCTGCTGCGGCACCATGGAATCCTTATATTTTCTTCTGGAATTAAAGGAACTTGCAATTATTGGTTTCCAAATAACCAAAATTAGATGCAGAAACTTGAAATGTGCTTCTTATTTACAGTGGGGGGGAAATAAATATTCGTACACTTGAAAAATCGTATTTTAATGAATGTAAGTACACAAACTTAACNATGGTAATATTGTATCATAGTTACGTCATTATCCTGTATAGCTTGCTAAATTTGTGTTTAATTATCAAGCCTTAAATTTTCATCATGATTCGCTACAGCAAAGAAGAAAGAACGAAAATTATCGCTACAGTCAATAACGATGTCAATAACAGAAGTTCAACGTGATTACAGGATCCATTTCAAAACAAGGATCCTTCAAAAAACACAATTAAATCTCTTCATCGAAAAGTTGCGGATATCAAAAATTTGCACTCTCGCCAGAAACACTAATGAAGGTTATGAAAACAACAAAGAGAAGAGCCCTATTTTGTCAAAACAATTGTGGTGGGCATTTAAAAGATATTATATTTGAAAACTAGGATACAATATTACCATAAAAATGTTCTTCTTTTAAATAAAACAAGTTTCAACTTCATAACGTTCTTAGTTTTTTATTTATTAACAAATTAAAAGGGTCAGTTAATTCTGGTACACCCTGTATATAGTTACGTTTAGAAATTATTATTAGATGGCAGGATTTACCTCTTTACACACGTGCGACCGATGACCAGAGAATAGCTACCTTCAAACTGGAGGGCAGGTGAACCACGCGAGACAAGCTTACAACCAGACCGTCACTCGCATTGTGCTGAAGGTCCTCACCAGCATCGTGATCATGCAGTGGCCCGACAACAACCGACCGGCGATAGCTGAACCCCTCATCTCTACAGATTGGACTCCAGCTGTCTGTTTTCTGACTACCGGATTTGTCTGAACTCTGAGGGAATTTTCCGAGTAATTTTTGGTCCAAAAAATTTTACTGTTGTATCTTATTTACTTATATTATGTACTTATTTCCACCAAAATTTCAATGTTTAATGCTTCTTCTAACTTGAAAATGAATGTTTGTTGCATTCGAAACGTCGTTAATAAAGGAAAACTACTTCCTGAAACTTGCCTTTTTATCTACCGTCAACTGAAGAAAAGTTCCACTCCCTGATAATATAAACCAACGAATTCTCTGCTCATCGGTCTCACGTGTGTAAACAGTTACGTTTAGCTGCACCTCAAATGAGCTTGTACAACATTATCATTTATTTGATTACTTTATTATGATAACGTGCCATTTAGCCCATGTCACACCAGCCTAATAAATATCATATATTCATGAAAATTTTATGTTGTGCCCCAGGGGAAGTGAACGTGTACGACCTGTCTGACAGCGAGAGCGTGGCGCCCGTCATGACGAGCTTCTGTGGGGGCAGCGGCGTGTCGTGCCTGGCGTGGTATGGCAACCACGTCAGTGCCCTGGCGGCTGCCACGCAGGGCGGTCACGTTCTCTGCTGGTCACTCAATTATGCCAAGCAAGCCATGACGCTTGAGTCTGCGTTAGTAAACTGCTTGAGTTCATAGTTTCTGCCGCAACAAAAATTGATTCATTTTTGTAGGAATATGCACAGTGATTTTTATTTTATTTGTTATTCATTTATTTATACAATATCACAGTTACTAATTTTCTAATTCAACAGATTCATCATAACTGAAGAAGACCTTCCCCGCGGTCACCGCCCTGGTATCAACAGCAGGTCTCCTGAGGGCGGCGTGGGCATCACGTCTTTCTCTTTCAACTCTGAAGACCCGAGCGTTTTTGTTGCTGCTGTAGAAGGGGGGAGCCTTCTGCTCTGCACTACCCTCAAGCAGGTGACAATTGAATGGTTTTTGTTTAGTGGAGATGCGGTACATTACACTATAGGTGCCTGCAACATGACCTAGGAAAGATGGAGCTATATAAATGTAGAATTTATATTGCATTGTGAAAAATATGAAGTAAACCTTGATATTAACTATAGGCAAAGTTTTGAGCCCCTTCTCTAGTATCAACCCTTCTCTAGCATCACCCCTGCACTAGCATCACCCCTTCACTAGCATCACCCCTTCACTAGCATCACCCCTTCACTAGCATCAGCCCTTCACTAGCATCAGCCCTCAGCCCCCTTTTCCTGCTTCACCCACTCTAGCACCACCCCTCCTCCTGCTTCACCCACTCTAGCATCACCCCTCCTCCTGCTTCACCAACTTTAGCACCACCCCTCATCTTGCTCCACTCACTCTAGCACCACCCCTCATCTTGCTCCACTCACTCTAGCACCACCACTCATCTTGCTTCGTCCACTCTAGCACCACCCCTCCTCCTGCTCCGCCCACTCTAGCACCACCCCTCCTCCTGCTCCACCCACTCTAGCACCACCCCTCATCATGTTCCGCCCACTCTAGCAC